ACATTCATGTATAATTATGTGATTGCTCCTTCCTCTCCAGACATATAATTATCTGGTGCTTCTCTCGTCCACACACACACCACCACACACATCGCTAGATTTTGCTGACAAGAAAAACAGAGTTAGAGTTATCTCCATTCCATCGATTTGCATTCGCAAAACATCGTAAATTTCCGTACATCATACGTGATTCAATGTTATTCGAGATAAAGAATTACTACCACGAAGTACAGAATGAGTTGCCATTGACAGCGGGGTACATTGATATGTTACTCGCTTGTAATCAGGATACATTGAAAATAATAGAAGAGCCCTCAGTCAATCAGAAAGCGACATTTATCGGTGAGGTAAGATAAATAATTATGTGCCTCCTCCTTCCCCTCTAAACATATAATCATGTGACTGCTTCTTCCCCTCTAGACATATAATCATGTGACTGCTTCTTCCCCTCTAGACATATAATCATGTGACTGCTTCTTCCCATCTAGACATATAATCAAGTGACTGCTTCTTCCCCTCTAGACATACAATCATGTGACTGCTTCTTCCCCTCTAGACATATAATCATGTGACTGCTTCTTCCCCTCTAGACATATAATCATGTGACTGCTTCTTCCCTCTAGACATATAATCATGTGACTGCTTCTTCCCTCTCGACATATAATCATGTGACTGCTTCTTCCCCTCTAGACATATAATCATGTGACTGCTTCTTCCCCTCTAGACATATAATCATGTGACTGCTTCTTCCCCTATAGACATATAATCGTGTGACTGCTTCTTCCCATCTAGACATATAATCATGTGACTGCTTCTTCCCCTCTAGACATATAATCATGTGACTGCTTCTTCCCCTCTAGACATATAATCATGTGACTGCTTCTTCCCCTCTAGACATATAATCATGTGACTGCTTCTTCCCATCTAGACATGTAATTATGTGACTGCTTCTTCCCCTCCTGAAATGCAATTATGTGACTACTTCTTCCCCTCCAGACATATAATCATATGACTGCTTCTTCCCCTCCTGACATATAATTATGTGACTACTTCTTCCCCTCCAAACACATAAGTTTGTGACCTCTTCTTCCCCTCCTCACATATAATTATGTGACTACTTCTTCCCCTCCAGACACATAAGGTTGTGACTGCTTCTTCCCCTCCAGATATGTAATTATGTGATTGTTGCTTCCCCTCCTGACATGCAATTATGTGACTGCTTCTTCCCCTCCAGTAATATAATCATGTGACTGCTTCTTCCCATCTAGACATGTAATCATGTGACTGCTTTTCCCCATCTAGACATACAATCATGTGACTGCTTCTTCCCCTCTAGACATATACTCATGTGACTGCTTCTTCCCTCTAGACATATAATCATGTGACTGCTTCTTCCCTCTAGACATATAATCATGTGACTGCTTCTTCCCCTCTAGACATTTAATCATGTGACTGCTTCTCCCCATCTAGACATACAATCATGTGACTGCTTCTTCCCCTCTAGACATATAATCATGTGACTGCTTCTTCCCCTCTAGACATATAATCATGTGACTGCTTCTTCCCATCTAGACATATAATCATGTGACTGCTTCTTCCCATCTAGACATATAATCATGTGACTGCTCCTTCCCCTATAGACATATAATCGTGACTGACTGCTTCCCCCTAGACATATAATCATGTGACTGCTTCTTCCCCTCTAGACATATAATCATGTGACTGCTTCTTCCAATCTAGACATATAATCATGTGACTGCTTCTTCCCATCTAGACATATAATCATGTGACTGCTTCTTCCCATCTAGACATGTAATTATGTGCCTGCAGCTTCCCCTCTAGACATATAATCATGTGACTGCTTCTTCCCCTCTAGACATATAATCATGTGACTGCTTCTTCCCCTCTAGACATATAATCATGTGACTGCTTCTTCCCCATCTAGACATACAATCATGTGACTGCTTCTTCCCCTCTAGACATATAATCATGTGACTGCTTCTTCCCATCTAGACATATAATCATGTGACTGCTTCTTCCCCTCTAGACATACAATCATGTGACTGCTTCTTCCCCTCTAGACATATAATCATGTGACTGCTTCTTCCCCTCCAGACATATAATCATGTGACTGCTTCTTCCCCTCTAGACATATAATCATGTGACTGCTTCTTCCCCTCTAGACATATAATCATGTGACTGCTTCTTCCCCTCTAGACATATAATCATGTGACTGCTTCTTCCCCTCTAGACATATAATCGTGTGACTGCTTCTTCCCATCTAGACATATAATCATGTGACTGCTTCTTCCCCTCTAGACATATAATCATGTGACTGCTTCTTCCCCTCTAGACATATAATCATGTGACTGCTTCTTCCCATCTAGACATATAATCAAGTGACTGCTTCTTCCCCTCTAGACATACAATCATGTGACTGCTTCTTCCCCTCTAGACATATAATCATGTGACTGCTTCTTCCCCTCTAGACATATAATCATGTGACTGCTTCTTCCCCTCTAGACATATAATCATGTGACTGCTTCTTCCCCTCTCGACATATAATCATGTGACTGCTTCTTCCCCTCTAGACATATAATCATGTGACTGCTTCTTCCCCTCTAGACATATAATCATGTGACTGCTTCTTCCCCTCTAGACATATAATCGTGTGACTGCTTCTTCCCATCTAGACATATAATCATGTGACTGCTTCTTCCCCTCTAGACATATAATCATGTGACTGCTTCTTCCCCTCTAGACATATAATCATGTGACTGCTTCTTCCCCTCTAGACATATAATCATGTGACTGCTTCTTCCCATCTAGACATGTAATTATGTGACTGCTTCTTCCCCTCCTGAAATGCAATTATGTGACTACTTCTTCCCCTCCAGACATATAATCATATGACTGCTTCTTCCCCTCCTGACATATAATTATGTGACTACTTCTTCCCCTCCAAACACATAAGTTTGTGACCTCTTCTTCCCCTCCTCACATATAATTATGTGACTACTTCTTCCCCTCCAGACACATAAGGTTGTGACTGCTTCTTCCCCTCCAGATATGTAATTATGTGATTGTTGCTTCCCCTCCTGACATGCAATTATGTGACTGCTTCTTCCCCTCCAGTAATATAATCATGTGACTGCTTCTTCCCATCTAGACATGTAATCATGTGACTGCTTTTCCCCATCTAGACATACAATCATGTGACTGCTTCTTCCCCTCTAGACATATACTCATGTGACTGCTTCTTCCCCTCTAGACATATAATCATGTGACTGCTTCTTCCCCTCTAGTCATATAATCATGTGACTGCTTCTTCCCCTCTAGACATTTAATCATGTGACTGCTTCTCCCCATCTAGACATACAATCATGTGACTGCTTCTTCCCCTCTAGACATATAATCATGTGACTGCTTCTTCCCCTCTAGACATATAATCATGTGACTGCTTCTTCCCCTCTAGACATATAATCATGTGACTGCTTCTTCCCATCTAGACATATAATCATGTGACTGCTCCTTCCCCTATAGACATATAATCGTGTGACTGCTTCTTCCCCCTAGACATATAATCATGTGACTGCTTCTTCCCCTCTAGACATATAATCATGTGACTGCTTCTTCCAATCTAGACATATAATCATGTGACTGCTTCTTCCCATCTAGACATATAATCATGTGACTGCTTCTTCCCATCTAGACATGTAATTATGTGCCTGCAGCTTCCCCTCTAGACATATAATCATGTGACTGCTTCTTCCCCTCTAGACATATAATCATGTGACTGCTTCTTCCCCTCTAGACATATAATCATGTGACTGCTTCTTCCCCATCTAGACATACAATCATGTGACTGCTTCTTCCCCTCTAGACATATAATCATGTGACTGCTTCTTCCCATCTAGACATATAATCATGTGACTGCTTCTTCCCCTCTAGACATACAATCATGTGACTGCTTCTTCCCCTCTAGACATATAATCATGTGACTGCTTCTTCCCCTCTAGACATATAATCATGTGACTGCTTCTTCCCCTCTAGACATATAATCATGTGACTGCTTCTTCCCCTCTAGACATATAATCATGTGACTGCTTCTTCCCCCTCTAGACATATAATCATGTGACTGCTTCTTCCCCTCTAGACATATAATCATGTGACTGCTTCTTCCCATCTAGACATATAATCATGTGACTGCTTCTTCCCCTCTAGACATATAATCATGTGACTGCTTCTTCCCATCTAGACATGTAATTATGTTACTGCTTCTTCCCCTCTATACATATGATCATGTGACTGCTTCTTCCCCTCCAGACATATAATCATGTGACTGCTTCTTCCCATCTAGACATGTAATTATGTGCCTGCAGCTTCCCCTCTAGACATATAATTATGTGACTGCTTCTTCCCCTCTAGACATATAATCATGTGACTGCTTCTTCCCATCTAGACATATAATCATGTGACTGCTTCTTCCCCTCTAGACATATAATCATGTGACTGCTTCTTCCCCTCTAGACATATAATCATGTGACTGCTTCTTCCCCTCTAGACATATAATCATGTGACTGCTTCTTCCCCTCTAGACATATAATCATGTGACTGCTTCTTCCCATCTAGACATGTAATTATGTGCCTGCAGCTTCCCCTCCAGACATGTAATCATGTGATTGCTTCCTCCCCTCCAGACATATGATTATGTGCCTGCAGCTTCCCCCCCAAACATAATTATGTGATTGCTTCTTCCCCTCCAGACATATATGCGGTTGCTTTTTTACCGCCGAAGATGGGCAATCAGATGTTGTCACCCCAGCTGTCACAATCCGGTGGTGACCATTGCAAGGCTACCATATGTTCCAATAGCCATTAGTCTGGAGCATATTCTGTGTGATATACCACATTGGACAAATGTGAGTGATCCGTATACTCTGTAATCAGTATTCATGCAAACAACAATCACAACCGACTAAACTGCTGAGAGTACTCACCGGGTTCCTGCCCCACCTGGGGTCCCTCAGGATGTTGATGACGGGGCTGAGGCAGCTGATGCCCCTGTGAGTGCCGTACATGGCGTGCTGACTGAAGTTGTTGTACTTGGCTCGCACCTCTATGCTGGTGGCCTCAGCCACACGGAAAATCAGCGTTGGACTTGACACATGCAAACAGAGATGCCATATAGGGCAGTGTTTGAGAGGAACCCATTTCCTGATACCTGGTCGTTTTGTTATGACGACGCAACAGTCGTCTTCTCTCAAGGCCCTGGCATCAGCTGGCATCTGCTGCGACACGTTTATTCAGCTTCTAGTTCTAGTTCCTGAGACACTATACATTCACTGACTGTTTATATTATCTGACAATACACTCTTCAAAAAAACAAAATAACCACCACCACCAACAACAAAAAGATGAAAAAAAGAAACTTACAGTCGTTTTCAGAAAGTCATTGCGATATGTTTTGAAAGCAATCGTGACTGAGACAATATTCCTATGCTTTGAAACCAGTTGATAACGTCGTGCTTGTTGTGTATTGCGCGCAAACGCATCCCTAAATGTGTTTGTAAACGTATGTGATAGAAAATGAAAACGATACAGGAAAAATGCATACAGAAAAGATTTTCCACGTAATGCACCTGCAATGTCTCGGAAACACGGGTAGAGGCATCGACCATAAAATTCCAAGACAAATTCATCTTTTCAGTACGAAATTTACAACGTATGCCAAGAAATGCCAAGATTGAATACTACTGGCCGAAATATCGCCATGGACGCTCTGAAGCAGGGGAGTCCCAGTCTGCCGTTGCAGGACACTTCAACGTCCACCACAGCACCATATCTCGATTATGCCATCAATTCGACCCAAGATCGTCCAAGAAGTGGAAAATCAAGAGTGACCACTCCCGCTCAGGCCCGATTCGTCCGGGTGTTTCACCTACGTCACCGATTTGCTACAGCAACGGACACTGCAGGACATGTGCCTGGTCTTCGAAGAATTTCCGACCAAACCATCAGAAATCGTCTGAGAGATGTGGTAATTCGAGCATATCGACCAAAGGTCGGACCTGTTCTGACACGACTACATCGACAAGGACGTGTCCAATGGTGCAACAGGGTACACACATGGCACCTGGGGAACTGGTGACGCGTTTGCTTCAGCGATGAATCGCGTTTCCTCCTGCAACGACAGGACGTCGACACGAACGTTTTGCGCCAAGCCGCGTTGGACAAGTGGACAGATTTGGTGGAGAGAGCGTCATGATGTGGGGAGCCATGACCTACACGGGTAGATCAGAGCTATTGGTGGTTCAAGACAATCTTAAAGCAAATCGCTACATTGACCAAATCCTGCTACCTCCCCTACCCCACGTTTTAACCGACGCCAAAGGGAGCCGTTTAGCAGCTCGTGTAGCAGGTGCTTATCTCGCCAAAGCAAACGTCAATGTTCTTCCCTGGCCTTCCAAATCGCCTTATCTGAACCCGATCGAGCATTAATCGGACGAACTTTCTCGAGACATCCGTAACCGTCACCATTATCCTCAGACACTTGCAGAACTTGCCAACATGAGGAATGGCGAAACATTCCCCCAAGCAAAAATCCGACGACTTGTGCAATTCCTTCCAGGGCGATGTCGAGCAGTGACGGTTGCAAGGGATGGTGTCACCTGACCTGAACGCCCCACATGTGCAGTGACTGAACTGAATTAATGCTGACAATGACAATACATAATCACTGTTCATGTTCCATGTGTCCAATTTCCTTCATCTATTTCCTTATTTATGGCCAGTCTTTTATGAAGAGTTTTTATTTCTTCGGACTGTCTATTTTCAGATATATTTTTTCACGGACAGTCTACAAAGATCACCATGTATAGTATTCCCAGAAATTATTGAGAAAGCTGTTTCGGCAAATGTCTAATTCATCTACATAAACTAAAGAAGTTTTACTTAAATGAATACATTGAGATATGATTCCCTTACAGTCTAAGCGTCTTTTCAGTACTTTGTTAGACCTCTTTTCCCTGCAATACACGACTGAATGCACCTAAAGTTTGTAGGAAATCGGGTGACAGCTAATACTAAAATTGGACCACTTCTTTCTTCGTATCCTCAATATTTCTAGGTCCTTCTTGGTTAAATCTGTCCTTATTAGTCCCCACGCATTCTCAATAGGATCTGGGCTGTAGCTGGGCCAGTCTAAAACCTGAACATTTTCATCCGACAACCATTGTTTTGTGTAGCCCGCAGTGTGTTTTGGGTTGTTATCATGCTGGAAAATCAAATTATCTTCATACAGTGTTCGGGTCGTTAGAAGGAGGTGACCATTTAATGTGTCAACATATCGTTCTTTCGTCAAACTTTCAGTACAACGGCGTCACTCCTCGTGAGGTGATTCCGCGCTTTTTCACCCAGTTAAGTCTTCGTAATTCTTGACTAAGGGTTTCTTTACATACCCGAGGACTTCCACTATCAATAAACCCATTTCCTATATTCTCAACGGTTATCAGTTTTCCCCTACTCACAATCGGACCAAGTCGCCGACGATCCGTAGTACTGAACTTCCTGACTGAATATTCTTCAAAGTTCTGTATACTGTAGACAGAGGAATGTCATGTCTACCAGCTAACTCTTTTGCAATTAGTCACGCCCCTTTCAAAATCATCTAGAACAAGCTTTTTGTTCTCTTCTGCTGTCAAATCTGCCATGTCAACAAAGGAAGACTTCTTCTACACCAGGGGAGATAACTCTTCATGTAGTAAGGTTCATTCTGAAGCCTACAAGTGTGGCCCCCATACTGAGTACTTTACTACATAATGTAACACCTATTTTAAAATTCTATTGTCAGTATTAGGAAACTAAGATTTTCTCAATAATTTATTGGAAAACTGTATACAGCAATGGCAGACTACAGGCAAACGGTCGGGCATTCTCATGGACACAATCTGCCTAGCTGGTCTAACATATACCTGACATATATCTGAGAAGTGTACAAGTAGTGTTACAGTTTACACAGATGCCCTGTATAGTAAATGTTACAGTTTACACAGATGCCTGTATAGTAAATGTTACAGTTTACACAGATGCCCTGTATAGTAAATGTCACAGTTTACACAGACGCCCTGTATAGTAAATGTTACAGTTTACACAGATGCCCTGTATAGTAAATGTTACAGTTTACACAGATGCCCTGTATAGTAAATGTTACAGTTTACACAGATGCCCTGTATAGTAAATGTCACAGTTTACACAGACACCCTGTATAGTAAATGTTACAGTTTACACAGATGCCTGTATAGTAAATGTTACAGTTTACACAGATGCCCTGTATAGTAAATGTTACAGTTTACACAGATGCCCTGTATAGTAAATGTCACAGTTTACACAGACGCCCTGTATAGTAAATGTTACAGTTTACACAGACGCCCTGTATAGTAAATGTTACAGTTTACACAGATGCCCTGTATAGTAAAAGTTACAGTTTACACAGACGCCCTGTACAGTAAATGTTACAGTTTACACAGATGCCCTGTATAGTAAATGTTACAGTTTACACAGATGCCCTGTATAGTAAATGTCACAGTTTACACAGACGCCCTGTATAGTAAATGTTACAGTTTACACAGATGCCCTGTATAGTAAATGTTACAGTTTACACAGATGCCCTGTATAGTAAATGTTACAGTTTACACAGACGCCCTGTATAGTAAATGTTACAGTTTACACAGACGCCCTGTATAGTAAATGTTACAGTTTACACAGACGCCCTGTATAGTAAATGTTACAGTTTACACAGACGCCCTGTATAGTAAATGTTACAGTTTACACAGACGCCCTGTATAGTAAATGTTACAGTTTACACAGATGCCCTGTATAGTAAATGTCACAGTTTACACAGACGCCCTGTATAGTAAATGTTACAGTTTACACAGACGCCCTGTATAGTAAATGTTACAGTTTACACAGATGCCCTGTATAGTAACTGTTACAGTTTACACAGACGCCCTGTATAGTAAATGTTACAGTTTACACAGATGCCCTGTATAGTAAATGTTACAGTTTACACAGATGCCCTGTATAGTAAATGTCACAGTTTACACAGACGCCCTGTATAGTAAATGTTACAGTTTACACAGATGCCCTGCATAGTAAATGTTACAGTTTACACAGATGCCCTGTATAGTAAATGTTACAGTTTACACAGATGCCCTGTATAGTAAATGTCACAGTTTACACAGACACCCTGTATAGTAAAAGTTACAGTTTACACAGACGCCCTGTACAGTAAATGTTACAGTTTACACAGATGCCCTGTATAGTAAATGTTACAGTTTACACAGATGCCCTGTATAGTAAATGTTACAGTTTACACAGACGCCCTGTATAGTAAATGTTACAGTTTACACAGACGCCCTGTATAGTAAATGTTACAGTTTACACAGATGCCCTGTATAGTAAATGTTACAGTTTACACAGACGCCCTGTATAGTAAATGTCACAGTTTACACAGACGCCCTGTATAGTAAATGTTACAGTTTACACAGATGCCCTGTATAGTAAATGTCACAGTTTACACAGATGCCCTGTATAGTAAATGTCACAGTTTACACAGACGCCCTGTATAGTAAATGTTACAGTTTACACAGATGCCCTGTATAGTAAATGTTACAGTTTACACAGACGCCCTGTATAGTAAATGTTACAGTTTACACAGATGCCCTGTATAGTAAATGTCACAGTTTACACAGATGCCCTGTATAGTAAATGTTACAGTTTACACAGATGCCCTGTTATACACAGATGCCCTGTATAGTAAATGTTACAGTTTACACAGACACCCTGTATAGTAAATGTTACAGTTTACACAGATGCCCTGTATAGTAAATGTTACAGTTTACACAGACGCCCTGTATAGTAAATGTTACAGTTTACACAGACGCCCTGTATAGTAAATGTTACAGTTTACACAGATGCCTGTATAGTAAATGTTACAGTTTACACAGATGCCTGTATAGTAAATGTTACAGTTTACACAGATGCCCTGTATAGTAAATGTTACAGTTTACACAGATGCCCTGTATAGTAAATGTTACAGTTTACACAGATGCCCTGTATAGTAAATGTTACAGTTTACACAGATGCCCTGTATAGTAAATGTTACAGTTTACACAGACGCCCTGTATAGTAAATGTTACAGTTTACACAGATGCCCTGTATAGTAAATGTTACAGTTTACACAGATGCCCTGTATAGTAAATGTTACAGTTTACACAGATGCCCTGTATAGTAAATGTTACAGTTTACACAGATGCCCTGTATAGTAAATGTCACAGTTTACACAGACACGCTGTATAGTAAATGTCACAGTTTACACAGACGCCCTGTATAGTAAATGTTACAGTTTACACAGATGCCCTGTATAGTAAATGTCACAGTTTACACAGATGCCCTGTATAGTAAATGTTACAGTTTACACAGACGCCCTGTATAGTAATGTTACAGTTTACACAGATGCCCTGTATAGTAATGTTACAGTTTACACAGATGTAGTACAGTTTACACAGATGCCCTGTATAGTAATGTTACAGTTTACACAGATGCCCTGCATAGTAAATGTTACAGTTTACACAGATGCCCTGTATAGTAAATGTCACAGTTTACACAGACGCCCTGTATAGTAAATGTTACAGTCAACGTCTGAAAAAATCATGAATGACACAACACATTTTTAAATCAAGAGAATAAGCTTTTACCTTCGGGCCGCCGCTATACAGTGCCAATCACCAAGACTTAATGAGCTCGAACGTGTTTGGTACCTCAAAGTATTGCAATTTTTAACAAATGTTGAATGTCCAGTTATCATCTTATTCATTTAATTATATTGTATTTTTGTCAAGCTCTGTGATCCAAAACGAATTACTTTTAAGGTAATAAAGTATTGTCTGTCTGTCTGTCTGTCTATCTGTCTGGCTGGCTGGCTGGCTGGCTGGCTGGCTGGCTGGCGTCTGACTGGCTGGCTGGCTGGCTGGCTGGCTGGCTGGCTTTCTGTCTGTCTGTCTGTCTGTCTGTCTGTCTGTCTGTCTATCTGTCTGTCTGTCAGTTGCTTCACCTAATCGGATCGGGCAGGTTAGTAGTATTTGCAATGTGATTACAATATTTGCAGCGGGATAACCTACGGGCTAAGCTTTAGCATTGTTTGTTGAGAAACGATTACATGGAGTTGCATGAGTGAGTGAGTGCCAGGTTGCACTGCCAGGTTAGAGTGTACGTAACTAACCCGCCGCTAACACACACCATATGTTGGTGATGATGCTATTACCTGCTGAAGCATTAAGATTGCTTGACGTACTAATGTTAGCACTTACTCAAAGGAAGCAGCCAGGCCAATGGGTTCAGGAAACGAGGTGGCATTGCCAGCCTTAACATCCCCGCGCAGGCACTCCGTGTCCCAGGAGTAAGGCTTGATCCCCAACCTACGGATCGGCGGAGTGGGGCCGTTGATGGGGCTGACCCCTCCCCGGGTCATTTGCGTCATGATTTCCTCAAGAGTGAGGCGACCCACCAGGTCCTCCACCCTGTCCTCCCACGACAGGGACGAGTTCCGGAACGGGAAGTCGGCGTACGTAAATGCCGAAAGACAAAACACGATCGTAAGTCTGTTAATAGTCATACTGAACATTCTAGCCAATCTGTTTACTGACATCTCACTGAAGCCTTAGTTTGGAAACTAAGATAAGATATCACGTTTTGCCAGCCGTTCAACAGTGTGCTTAGAACATCTGGTAATCTGCAAACTCTTCCATTATTAAGACAGGGTCAAATTGTAGTGCATTTGGCTATATTCGTATGACATCGAAGACATGAATAGGCCAACACTATTGCTCCATGATATCAGCGTCACCAACAGACCGGACAGTTGCTAAATTACCTGCACAAAACGACCAACTCTATTGCTTACAATACCAATGTCATGGACAATGACAAAGGCGTTGTCATGAACTGAGAGATTCAGGGGAGGAGACAAAGCCTATACAAGCAGTTATATACTGTGGACCCATTGTCATATACTGAGATATACACGTTACTAGACAAAGCCTTGTCATCTAGGGAGATATACACGTTACTAGACAAGGCCTTGTCATCTAGTGAGATATACACGTTACTAGACAAATCCTTGCCATCTAGGGAGATGTACAGTGGACCAAAAAAGGCCTTGACATCTACTGAGAGATACAGGCGGCGAGACAAGGCCCATGTAGGGAATCGAATCTGGGTCTTCGGCGTGATGAACGAACGCTTTAATCAGCAGGCCCTTAATCCACTGAGATATATAGGGCACAGGACAAGGGATTGTGATGGACTGTGATATATAGGGCAAAGGACAAGGGATTGTGATGGACTGTGATATATAGGGCACAGGACAAGGGATTGTTATGGACTGTGATATATAGGGCACAGGACAAGGGATTGTTATGGACTGTGATATATAGGGGACAAGACAAGGGATTGTGATGGACTGTGATATATAGGGCACAAGACAAGGGATTGTGATGGACTGTGATATATAGGGCACAGGACAAGGGATTGTGATGGACTGTGATATATAGGGCACAGGACAAGGGATTGTGATGGACTGTGATATATAGGGCACAGGACAAGGGATTGTGATGGACTGTGATATATAGGGCACAGGACAAGGGATTGTGATGGACTGTGATATATAGGGGACAAGACAAGGGATTGTGATGGACTGTGATATATAGGGGACAAGACAAGGGATTGTGATGGACTGTGATATATAGGGCACAGGACAAGGGATTGTGATGGACTGTGATATATAGGGGACAAGAAAAGGGATTGTGATGGACTGTGATATACAGGGGACAAGACAAGGGATTACGTTGGACTGTGATATACAGGGGACAAGACAAGGGATTGTTATGGACTGTGATATATAGGGGACAAGACAAGGGATTGTTATGGACTGTGATATATAGGGGACAAGACAAGGGATTGTGATGGACTGTGATATACAGGGGACAAGACAAGGGATTGTGATGGACTGTGATATATAGGGGACAAGACAAGGGATTGTGATGGACTGTGATATACAGGGGACAAGACAAGGGATTGTGATGGACTGTGATATATAGGGGACAAGACAAGGGATTGTGATGGACTGTGATATACAGGGCACAGAGACAAAGGGATTGTGATGGACTGTGTGAGTGAGTGAGTTTGGTTTTACGCCGCACTCAGCAATATTCCAGCTACATGGCGGCGGTCTGTAAATAATCGAGTCTGGACCAGACAATCCAGTGATCAACAGCATACTGAGAGACATGTAAGTGACGAGACAAAGAGATTGTGATAGACTGAGACATACAGGTTACGAGACAAGGGATTCTGATGGACTGAGACATGTAAGTGACGAGACAAGAGATTGTGATGGACTGAGATATATGGGGGACTAGACAAGGGATTGTGATGGACTGTGATATATAGGGGACTAGACAAGGGATTGTGATGGACTGAGACATGTAAGTGACGAGACAAGGGATTGTGATGGACAGACATATAAGTGACGAGACAAGGGATTGTGATGGACTGAGACATACAGGTTACGAGACAAGGGATTGTGATGGACTGAGACATACAGGTTACGAGACAAGGGATTGTGGCCTGAGACATACAGGTTACGAGACATGGGATTGTGATGGACTGAGACATGCAAGGGACGAGACAAGGGATTGTGATGGACTGAGACATACAGGTTACGAAACAAGGCATTGACAAGCTTCCGTTCGTTGCGACACTCTGTCATGCTCTCCGGTTTGATTTGTAATGCTGTTCTACAATGTGATACAATTATGACAGAGATGATAATGTTCACCTAGGTATAACACAAGTATAAGACATCACTGGCCCTCACTGGACCTCTACATGTACAACGTATTACACTGAGGACATTCCGACACAAGGAATAACACTGCCCCATGACATCTGGTGCTGCTTGAAAATGTGATATGTCATGTTCCATGTTACTGTTTGTTATCACTTGCTGTTCTGTACCATTTCCGGTTAGTTTTGTCGTCCTAGTATATCCTTCCTCCTTGTATTTTGTTTGTGCTGCCGTATGTTTAACTTGCTTTCTATATGGCGACTGACTGTCCGCCTTTAACCCGTTTCTGCGGGAAGACCCTGTGACTGCCCCTCCACTGCTGGCATCTGCTGCTGAAAGCCATTACCCTATGTTATGACCCTGTGAATGTCCTGTGTGGCCTCTCTCGGTCTATCAGCAGTCTACACAAGTTCCGGTAAGTTGTCTACCTCTCTTTGACGCCATATCACCTGTTCCACTTGTTTGCATATTATAGACAAATCAAATGTACAATTAGCATTTGAAGGGACGATTGTCTTTGATGACCGTCAGTTTCACGTGACACCAAGGCATGCAAGGTTAAGCTACAAGTCAGTTTCAGGTAACACTAAGGTATGCAGGTATGGACACACCAGCAAAACATGTGTCTACACACACCAACACAACATGCGTCTAAACACACCAACACAACATGTGTCTACACACACCAACACAGCATGTGTCTACAAACACCAACACAACATGTGTCTAAACACACCAACACAGCATGTGTCTACACACACCACCACAACATGCGTCTACACACACCTGCACAACATGTGTCTACACACACAAACATAACATGTGTTTACATACACCTGCACAACATGTGTCTACTCACCAGCACTACAGGTGTCTACACACATCAACACAACATGTGTCTACACACACCTGCACAACATGTGTCTACACACCAGCACTACATGTGTCTACACACACCTGCACACCATGTGTCTACACACCAGCACTGCAGGTGTCTACACACACCAGCACTACAGGTGTCTACACACACCAACACACCATGTGTCTACACACACCTGCACACCATGTGTCTACACACCAGCACTGCAGGTGTCTACACACAGTAACTCGACAGATGTCTACACATACCAGCACGACATGTATTGACACACACCTCCACAACATATGTCTACACACACCATCACAACAGGTGTCAACACACACCATCACGACAGGTGTCTAAACACACCATCACGACAGGTGTCTACGCACATCAACACGACAGGTATCTACACACACCAACACGACAGATGTCTCCACGTACCAACACGACAGGTGTCTACACACACAAACACGACATGTGTCTACACACACCAACACTACAGGTGTCTACACACACCTTCACGACAGGTGTCTACACACATCATCATAGCAGGTGTCTACACACACCAACACAACATGTGTCTACACAGGAAAACAGGCCAGGTGTCTACACACACCAACACGACTGGTGTTTACACACACCAAAACAAGTGCCTATGCACACCAACATAACATGATTCTACATACACGAACAGGACAGGGGTCTACTCACACCAACACGCCATTATGTCTACACACATCAACACGACAGGTGTCTACACACACCAACACAACAGGTGTCTAAACACACCTGCACACCATGTGTCTACAAACCAGCACTGCAGGTGTCTACACACACCAGCACTACAGGTGTCTACATACACCAGCACTACAGGTGTCTACACACACCAACACACCATGTGTCTACACACACCAACATAACATGCGTCTACACACACAAACACAACATGTGTTTACATACGCCTGCACAACATGTGTCTACTCACCAGCACTACAGATATCTACACACACCAACACAACATGTGTCTACACACACCAGCACAACATGTGTCTACACACCAGCACTACAGGTGTCTACACACACCAACACACCATGTGTCTACACACACCTGCACACCATGTGTCTACACACCAGCACTGCAGGTGTCTACACACACCAGCACTACAGGTGTCTACACACACCAGCACAACATGTGTCTACACACACCAGCACGACAGGTGTCTACACACACCTTCACGACAGGTGTCAACACACATCATCACAGCAGGTGTCTACACACACCAACACAACATGTGTCTACACAGGAAAACAGGCCAGGTGTCTACACACACCAACACGACAGGTGTTTACACACACCAAAACGACAAGTGCCTATGCACACCAACATAACATGATTCTACATACACGAACAGGACAGGGGTCTACTCACACCAACACGACAGGAGTCTGCACACACGAACACGACATGTGTCTATACACATCAACACGACAGGTGTCCACACACACCAACACGACAGGTGTCTACACTCACCAACACAGCAGGGTTTACACACGCCAGCGCAACATGTCTCTACAGAAACCAGCACAACATGTGTCTACACACATCAGAACAACATGTGTCTACACACACCAACACGACAGGTGTCTACACACACCAGCAAAACATGTGTCTACACACACCAACACAACAGGTGTCTACACACACCAGCAAAACATGTGTCTACACATACCATCACGACAGGTGTCCATAGACACACCAACGCGACTGGTGTCTGTACACACCAACACGTCAGGTGTCTAAACACACCAGCACGACAGGTGTCTACACACACAGACACAAGATGTCTCTACAGAACCCAACATAACAGGAATCTACACATACCAGCACAGCATATGCCTATATGCTACACA